CCATATAAATTTTATTATGATTTGTTCTAGTTCTGTGAAATATGGCCTGGGTAATTTGACAGGGATTGCATTAAATCTGTAGATTGCCTTGGGCAGTGCCTTTTTTTTTTTTTTTTAAAGGAAGACTGCATCTCTGTCAGGGATATGGGTCAACTCCAATTCTAACATAGAAGCTCACTATTTTGATTTGTGAAATCCATCTTCACATTTTTATCTGCAGCTGAAATGTAATATAGTACAGTATGATATATTATGTGAAGTATATATTACTTTTAAAAGTATATAAAGCATAATAATTAAAGTAAAGTGTAACCTTACTGGAAGAGATGAAGAAACCATAATGTTGCTTTAGAATGATCTACAAGATGTATTATTGTTAAGTGAAAAAAGCAAGGGGCAAAATAATGTGTAAATTATTCTATCATTTGTATAAAATTTTTCTGATACCATGTATAAAATATCTGATAGGCTGTGCAAGAAATGGTATATTTTCACTTTTTACTGTTGGGGAGGGAAATTGGATGGCTAAACGCAAAGGTGGGAGTTTTTTTACTGTATATCCTTTTATACTTTTTGATTATTGAACCATGTGAATGTATTCCCTAGTTAGTAAAAACAAAAACAAAAAACCCTCATAAAAGTGGAAAAGTAAAATAGCTATTTTGAAGTCTAGATAAATTTTTATTCATCCTTTGTAAACATTTCTTTTTATCTATACTAATCATATTCAGATTTGACAGGGCTTTTAGATTCCTGTTTTAATTTAGTTGTTTTTTTTTTCCTTTCCTTTAAGTGTGTTTTTGACACTAAACTAGGATCTTTTGTCCTTCATTTAGGGATTTGAGTCATAATCGATTGTCTAACTGGAACGTCAGCTTGGAATCTCAAACATTACAAGAAGTGTAAGTTATTTTTATTTATTTAAATTTACATTAAATTCCTTGAAGTGATTTGATGAATTATGAATGTCAGGATGTTCAATCCAGAAATGTCAAAAAACTGAAGGAAAAAAACTTTATATTAAAACACCTTGTTTAAAAAACCTAAACTTGTCTTTGGCTTTACTGCTTTCACAAACGCTGGGTATTATGCCATTGGGTGGGTGATCTCAAGTTGTAAACTGTGTGGAGATACTGTTCTATGTCCCTGAGGCCTAAAGTAAGATTTGTTTTTCCCCTTTTCTAAGTAAATATGTTCTTTTTTTTTTTTTTTTTTGCCAGTGTTTCAGCCAGTGAAACTATTGCGTAAACTTTTTTTTTATGTTTTGACTTGTCTAAGGTGGAGACGTCACGTCTAAAGTAGATTTATATGAAATACAATGTTTTTGGTATCATCTGAAATGTGGTAGTTAATATAATTCCATTTTCCACTTCACTAAAGTTTTTCCTTTAGTGCTGAGATATATTATTGTATGTTTTTTGGAGAGAATTTTCTAAAATATCATTAATATCAGTTATTGCATTGTGGTATTCCCAGGAGCATGACTACTGAGGCCTGTTTACCTCTATGCTAAACACCCCCAGAATCCTCAGATGAATTTTTCTTTTTAATTTTTTTCTGACAAGGGGTACGTTGTGCTTTCATTGTCTCTTCATTCTATCCTTCTCTGCCTCACGTTGACTGCCTCCAGTCTGCTGTGGACTGTGAACAATTGACAAGCTTATTAGCTGAAAGAGTAGGCCCTGAGGAAAAACCTACTTTTTAAAAAATTTACATTGAAAATTTACATTTTTAAATGCTCAATGGGAAATGCATGAGCTTTATTATTTGGACTTTGTAAGTTCAGTTCATTACTTGGAGGCCTTTTACGTCTGGTTTCTTTTCTGTATTCTAGATTGTTGAGGTGGTTCAGTGATTGGAAACCAGGTCGGTGAAAATAAGATTGCATTAGATTTGCTACTAAAACAGTTGAGACAGTCCCTGTTAGGTCTGTGGTCTCAAGCAACTTTCCCTAACTTTGAGTAACTTAAAAAAGTGTGTGTGTGTGTGTGTGTGTATTTAAAAAATTTATGTAATTAACTTATTTATAATTTATTTTATTATAAATAACTATGTATAGAAATGTGAATTATTTTTTTATTTTTTACTTTAAAATTTAAAAAATTATTTTAAAATTTATTTTAAAATTAAAAAAAATGTTTCCCCCTTAACAGAGGCACTGGGGATTGAACCCAGGACCTTGTGGAAGCGTGTGCTCTACCACTAAGTTATATCCTTTACCCCAGAATTATTCTTTAAGGAGGACTCAAATTAGGTGTTGTAGAAGTAACTGTTCTACACCAGAAATTGACACAACATTGTAAACTGACTATACTTCAATAAAAGTATATTTGAAAAAGAAATAACTATTCAAAGAACCTTGCTGAGATTAAAAGTATTTAATGTGCAAAATACTTCCTAATCTAATATTGGTATCAAGTCATAGAACTACACCATGAAAAAAATTTTTATTACTATCTGTAATTTCTCAGAAGGATACATTTAATTTAACTCATTTGGGGCCAGAGGCTTTTTTTTTTTTTCCTCCAAATTTGGCGCCTATCCTAAAGAATATGTATTAGCCAAAAACCACAACTCAAGAGGTAACATTTCCTTCACTAAACTTCTATACCTGTTTTTCCTCCTACTTAGGAAAATGAATTATAATGAACTAACAGAAATCCCATATTTTGGAGAACCAACCTCTAATATTACTCTACTGTCATTGTAAGTAAAAAAATTTCAGATCTTTTACTTAAATTATGAATAGTACACAGTTTTTTATTTTTGTTTTAGATACCCTTGTTGTTGATTGTAATTATTTAACATTTTTGTGGTCTAGGGTAGATCACTGGCAATAGCTTCAATATAATCTTTGTTTTGTAGAGTCCATAATATAATCCCAGAAATAAATGCAGAAGCGTTCCAGTTTTATCCTGCTCTTGAGAGTTTAGATCTCAGCTCAAATATAATATCAGAAATCAAGACATCTTCATTTCCTCGAATGCAGCTTAAATACCTGTAAGTAAAACGGAGTTTAAACTAGTTTTACTTCAAAGTGCATGTTTATTATTCATTGATACTTACTTTCCCAGATAGATCTTTTGTGATTTTAATATGCTTATGTGAAACAAACCTAGGGTTGAATTGTTTTGGTGGTTTTTTTCCTACTCTTATTAAAGAATGCACTACTTTCAGAAAATATTAAGTATCCAGGATAATTTTTGAGATTTAATTTTGGATTGTGTTTTACTAACAGTTTTGTAAGAGTTAAATGGGAGTGATGTTAAACAGTGGCTTACCTAGTATAGTGATGATGATAATTAGCATTTGTGCTAGTGCTTTACAGTTTACAAAATATATTCACACACACTGTTTCAACTCAAATGAAGTTGTTATTTTTATTCTGCATTTGAAGAAACAAAGCAGTTAAGTGACTTGTAAAGTTGTGTACAGTTGCTGAAGGGTAGAGCTGGGACTCATTTGTGACTTGGGGCAGCTTTCTGGTGGTAGAATGTTTTGTTTCACTAATTTGTTGTTGTTGTTATCTTGTTCATTTTAGGAATTTGAGTAATAATAGGATAACCATCTTGGAGGCTGGTTGCTTTGATAATTTGTCAAGTTCCTTATTAGTAGTAAAGTTAAACAGGAACAGAATTAGCATGATCCCACCCAAGATCTTCAAGCTACCTCACCTCCAATTCTTGTGAGTAAATAGATGGATTATAAGAAGATCGTTTTTTCTTACAGTGTCTGTTTCTTCTTCTTATTAGCACGAATTAGCATACCCAATTTTCTGACTATAAAACTGTTTTTGTTAAAGGGAACTTAAAAGAAACAGAATTAAAGTTGTAGAAGGTCTTACATTCCAAGGGCTGGACTCCTTAAGATCTTTGAAAATGCAAAGGAATGGAATTAGCAAACTAAAGGATGGAGCTTTTTTTGGCTTGGATAACATGGAAGAATTGTAAGTACTATGAAGTAGAATAGGAGATTGTTAGGAAAGGAGTCTGGGACTTTACAGTGCCAAACGTCTAGGATAGTTGCTTTAACTATACCAAAGTACTTAAGCTCTTTCTCCCTTCTCTAATGTGAAATAATATTACAGACAAAACTGTTTAAGTTTTGTTATCTAACTGATACTTTTTTTGTCATTCTTAAAAACATTTCATCTAGAAGTTTATATTCCCTTATAAATATAATAATGAAGTGTTTGGCTGGTGAAAATTACCAGAATTTACTCAGAACAGGTATACTGTACCTCTTACTGTGTTGATTTTATAGATCTGGTATTTTAGACTTTAGATATTTTACTGCCTTCTTGCACTAAATCTTAAGTAACAAATACTTAGGAATAGAACTTGCTCACTTGGGTTGAGCTTTAAAAGTATATGCCTCTCTGAGCAAGTCTTAATGAAGATTTTTGGAATCTTCTCATTGCAATGCCTTGTTCTGAAACATATTTCCTTCTTTCTTTCTCTAATTCTGCAGAGAACTGGAGCATAATAACCTCACAGAAGTGAACAAGGGGTGGTTGTATGGCTTGCGAATGTTACAGCAGCTCTATGTGAGCCAGAATGCTGTTGAACGAATCAGCCCTGATGCATGGGAATTCTGCCAAAGACTCTCCGAACTGTAAGGGTTGGGTGGCATTTCAGTGGAGGCTGTAAGACTAGAGCAGATTGAATAAGTCATTCCCTGGCTAGTAATGAGACTAATATTCCTCTTTATTAGAAGTTTGAAAGCTCTGAATTTATCATGTAAATAAGAATATGAAAATTGAACTAAAATAAAGTGAGTTCTTTACTTTCCATGTTTCCTGTTTTTAGTGATTTGTCCTATAACCAGTTGACCCGCCTGGATGAATCTGCCTTTGTGGGTCTGAGCTTACTGGAGAGATTGAATTTAGGGGACAACAGAGTCACTCACATTGCTGATGGTGTTTTTAGGTTTCTTTCCAACCTTCAGACACTGTAAGTACATCTGTCATTTTTTGTCTTTTTGCTAACTTTTTTAAAGCAGTAAAGCAAATAAATTAAAACAACTAATCAGTCTATAGATTCATGTATGTTAATATTTTGCAGTTCTTCTGTCCTGTGCCTTGGGGCAAGGCAGTCTTATTTATCTCAATCCCTATACATAAATTTTACTTATTTCTAGCCATTTTGATATGTACTTTAGTTCTAAGTTAATTAAATAACAAAGCATTTCTTATTGTGCCAGTTACTATGGAATAAAACACAGTTGCTGGTGTCCAGAATGCACGTTTTCTTATTCCTATGATCTTGGACTGCCAGTAGTTTACCAGAACTGCCACTTCTCATTCAGAAGGATGCAGGATGTGTAGTGGGAACAGCTCTGGCACGTTCCCACTGTCACTAATTTGCTGCATGACTTTGGACAGAAAACAACTAACATTTATTAATGATCTGATATGGGCCAAGTGCTTTCAGGATACTAGGACATTATTGGTCTTTTCCATATCAGGAGACTGAGGTTCAGAGAGATGAAAGTGATTCACATACCTTTGTAAATGTTTGGGCCAGGATTAGAACCCAGGTTTGTTTGATACTAAAGCTTATGTGCTTTTTATTACACTGCCAGATGAGCAAAATCACTTAGCCTTTCCTTGATGTTATTACTGTTGTTGTTGTTGTTGTTGGTATTTGGTCTTGTCCAGTGAAGGATGGACGTAGGATTAGATGGTCGCTAAAGGCAATTTCAGCTCTAGAATTCTGTGGTTCTGTAAGTTGAATGTTTTACCCTGATCATGAAATATAATTGTATGAAGAGATATTTTAATGAAATATAGTCATGTCAAACATAGAGCAGAAGAAGAGAAAAAGAGTAATTAGTAGAATTTGTAGATTCTTAAGGTTTCTGGATAGGGAATTATCTGGTCCTCAGGTTTAAAGTTGGTAAATGGTCTCAGACAAGAGGCAAGCTTCCAACTTTGGGACCTAACCATCAGTGTCAAAGAAGCATGATAATTTTGTAAAGGTGTCTATGTATGCAGAAGTGTGTGTTTAATTTTTTTTTTTTGTAATAAGGTTTTCCTCCTTCAGATTTGGCCTTGAAAAATTGAAAGTGTTTTCCTTTTTTCCCCCTTTTTCTCTTTTCTACGTTATCAGAGGTGCAATTAGATCAGTGCAAACTCAGGAATTTATGTTAGATGCAGCTGTAGCCTTTTGGCAGTGCATGGGATGGCAAACAGGTTCTTTAGTATACCACAGATGATTACTTTTAATATTGAAGTTTGGGAAAGTAACTGCAGAATTAATGATTATCTAATGCTACAAAGATAGTTAAGGCAGAACAAATCTGAGATATTCTGGCTTTAGACGAGTGCTCTTGCCAGAATGGATGTGCTTCTTACTCACTTTGGTGACTGAGTTCTGTTTATGCTGTTCTGTGGAGGAGAGGGCAAAGCCCTGCAGCATTGAGCCATCAGTTGTTTCAGTGTTTATTCTTCAGTAAAATAAAATGATCTTTGTTAGCTTTCACGCCAAGTAAAGATGGAGCCAAATGGGAAGAATGATCTACCTCCTTACTGTTATTCACACGGCTTTACATATGTCTTATAAAGCAAAAGGCTTTGTGCTTTATTGTGAGATCACTTAAGGAAGCAGAGGTGATTAAATATCTTTAACTGGTATTTCTTCCATGAAGACATGGTGTGGTGCAATTACATTTCCTCTGAGAATGAAACAGTGGATTTTAAAAGATCCATACTTCTCCTTTTAAAGAAACAGAGTGATTGCTCTAGCACATGGGTATATCATTCTTACATCCCAGGGGATATGTTTAATTGCTGTTGAGCTGTGAAGCTCTGTATTGACATTCTTTTTGTCAGCCATTTTAGGTTTAAGGGCTCAGGGGAAGGCTTGGGTCACCCAGAAATCCCATTAGTCTGATATCAAATTTGTAAGCCATATCTCCTGCATCTTGAAATCTTCCTGCTTTTTGTAGGACCCTGACTATAATTTTTAATATGCTAACACAACTACAGGCTGTTAGCTAGGAAGATTAATACTAACTTAGCAGGTTGCTTAATTTATTTATCAAGGTCGGCTTAATTCTTAGCTTATGAGAATTAGATTTTACATGCTTATCACAGGTATTCTTTAAAAAGAAGAGTTGTGTTCATCATAAATAACCTTTAAAACAAGGATCAAAATTAGCATTGCTTGTCACGATGCCTGGTGGTGTAATGGTCATGTTGACTAACATAACTTGTCTATCCCTAACATTTTTTATAGAAACTTAAGAAACAATGAAATTTCCTGGGCCATAGAAGATGCCAGTGAAGCCTTTGCTGGACTTACAAGTCTCACTAAATTGTATGTATTTATAATATGTACATATGTCTACGAAGGTTTATTTTCAAGAACCAATTGAAGATGTGATTGGATTGTATCTATTTGCTATGGCTGGAAAGCCTGAACCTCTGACTCATCCAGTAAAAGAAGATGCTTTGTTGTTTATTAACATTTTTGTTTTTTGGTTTGTTTTTAATTTTGTTTCTTGTGGTGGGACACTTTCTCTGAAAGGGCACTTAAATGGAAGTTATTTATAGAACTAGAATTTTGATTAAAGTAAAAGAAATGCACTGAGAAATCAGAATTGAATCAGTAATCTGTTTAATCATGTGAGATTTGTAAGTAATTTAACTAGCAAGAGAGGATTCTCTCAAGTAAGATTTTAGAATCGTCTCCCATGAGAATTTCTCCAAGGCTTCATCTGTATTTGTCTGAGTGTCTTTGACCTGATGGTCTTTCACTAAGAAGGGAGAAACTGGAAATGTAATCCAGTTTCTCATATGAAAACTACGAGTGTATCTGTGGTCAGGATGGTTGTTGACGGGTACCTCACTGAGCGCCAAAGTCTTAATAGAGGCCTTTCTTCTGTGCTTTGCATTGGTTAATAATAAAGGTTCTGAATTTTCTTAAAAATGCATGTTAAGTTTATTTTCACTTTTATAGGTAAATGTTTGTTCTAATGAATTTAATTTTGTTTAGTGGAAAGCTTTATTAGAAAGGTCTGTTTGTATTTCAGAATCTTACAAGGAAATCAGATTAAGTCAATTACAAAGAAAGCATTCATTGGTCTTGAATCCCTTGAGCATCTGTAAGTATTTTGTATCCATTTTGCTCAGTATATGAATAATCTTTGCTATTAGCAGAGGTTTTCATGACCACTTAAAATGTTTATATAACTTAATTGTAGAAATGGTGACTGGTAATGTTTCATTTCTCTTCATTTCAGAGATTTGAACAACAATGCTATAATGTCTATCCAAGAAAATGCTTTTTCTCAGACTCGCTTGAAAGAACTGTACGTAACTTTGTCTTTTTTGTCACCAAATAGATCATTATCCATGCTTGTTGTGCTTAAAGGGTGCTGAATGTGAGCCAGATGTTTCCCAAAGCACACAATTCAGGCAGGAAAAAAGAAAGTGTTAACATTTAGTTATTTTAGTGGCTGGATATAATTTTAAAATAACTCAACATTGAAAAGCCCAGAGTGTGAGGCACCAAGACCTGTTTTTTTCCTGTGCTGCTGATGCTTTTGGTTAAAGAGTACTTAGCACCACTCCTTATGCTTTATGTATACCCTACCATTCCTTTTTTATGCCCTCATTCCTTTTCGGACTTTGGAGGCATATGTTCCCAATTCTTACCCTTTGGGGTAGAGTACAATTAAGGTATTATATAATTTTTTGGAGATGATCTAGCATTTTCAGTATAATGACCAGAGAGAATGTCTCTAAATTTGTTTTTTCAAACTACTAAAATGTTCCAAAACTGTTGAATAGTTAATAATAGAAACATACGTATCATTTTTTTACCTTTTTTCATTCATGATTTTAAAAAAGTGTTCTTATTTTGCAGGGAGAGGGGTGGTTAGTTGGGCAGTGCTTTTAATTTTAAACTCTAATGATTTGACTATTTAGCCAGTGGTAAGGATCAACAGACTACATCAACTTATCTTGCCTTGCCTGAAACCTACTCAGAGGAAGTAGGACCAAAACTGATTCATGACAAAATAAGGATAGAAATTCAGAATAAGCATTTAGAAACTTTTAGAACAATTTGATATTACTGTGACACTTTTGTTGAATTTTATGAGTATTGGTTTACAACAGATTAGGAATTTAAGAAACTGATCCTTCTCCACATATAGTTTGAGATGCATTGGAAGTAGGTTGGTTCAAACTGTCTAGGTTTAAATTCTTGCTCCATTCTTCACAACTAGGTGTTTAGCCTAAGACTCAGTTTCCCTTCTCAAAATGGAAATAGCACTATCCTCAGGGTCATGTGAGGATAAAATGAGATAATTTGTTTATTCAAGAAATATTTATTGTCCTCTGCTATGTAAGTTACTGTTCTAGATGCTGAAAATGCAGCAGTGAACAAGACAGTTTGTCCACGTAGCATATTACAATACTTTCTATAAGGAAGATAAATAGTAAACCAGTAGGTATATAATATCTCATCAGGTGATAAGTGTTCTGAAAAAAAAACCAGCTGGGTCAAAGGTGTGCACAGTGACAGAGATTGCTATTTTAAAGTAGCGAGGGAAGGCTTTTCTGAAGATAACAGCCTTTGAGCTAGGACCTTAATGAGATGAAACGGCAAAACATTGAATGCTGGGCAGAGGGTGTTCCAGGCACAGGGAAGAGCAAGTGAAAAGGGTTTGAGGTAGGAGCTTGCTTTTTTACTTGAAAAACGGCGAAGACACTGGTGTGGCTGGAAGACAAGAGCCCAGGGAAGAGTGGTGGGAGTTGGGGTCAGAGAGTTATGCAGGCTTGATCACGTAGGGCCTAATAGGCCATGAGGAGTTAGGATTTTTTTCCTCCTAAATGCATTAGAAAGCTTCTGAGGGTTTTGAGAAGATGTTCCGCACAGAGCCTGGCACATAGTAAAGGTGAATGAATAACGAAAATAATAACAAAAGTTAAAATGTATGGAGACCATCTTTCTGCCAGATTTTTGAAGTGGCTTTTGGGGGATAGGGGGAAGGCATCTCTTGAGATATTTTGAGTTATTTCTCCTAAGGCTTAGTTTAACTTGAAAAGGTACAGCTTACTGCATATCAGTATTACTTTTTTTGGTTGTGATAATCTGAGGGCCAGCAAGAAAGTTTTAACTCCTGTTAAGAGAAAACAGTTTATAATATAATTTAGATAGTAGATGAAAATAGTTATTATAGTTTCATTCTTCAGAGTCATGTAGAAATTTGGAAGTTGGTTTGAACAATCTGCTAATGTAGGGACTCTGATGCAACTTTTTTACAGAGAATTTTTAGTCGCTTTTAGTACTTTAAATTTAAGACATGTTTGTAGTACTTTTCACATCAACAGTTATTAAACTATCTTTTAATACCTTTTGGTGTTCTTCATAGTGCTTTGCATAAATATTGGGGGGTGGGAGAGGCAAATATAAATTAAAAATTTTTTGCTTTAAAATTATATAATCATGGTAGAAAATTAGAAGATACGGTTAAACCAAGAGGGAAAGAAAGACTGTTAATATTTTGGTGTATATCTATCCACACTTGTTGAGAGAGTACAGGGTACTCCATTAGACATGTGTGGGCGAGGTTCATTAGTTTGTGAAGGGTGGAAAGATGCAAAAGAAACAGAAGTGAAATGAGTTAATGTGAATTCAGTGAAATCTGTGGCCAGGTACTGTGTCAAATGCTTTATTTAACATTTTTCTTTGAGGTAGGCATTCTCAATCCCATTTTCCAGAAATAGAAACAGATTTTAGAGACATTCAGTATCTTGCCTAAGGTAAGTAGTCGAATTAGGATATGAGTCCAGATTTCATGAGCCAACTTATACCTAAGAAAGCATACACCAGACCACGTCACTCCTCTGTTCTTAACCTTCCAGTAGCTTCCCATCACACATAGGAAGAAAACAGCTCAAGTTCTTCCCTTAGTTTATAAAGCACCTGTATGGCCTGCTCCTACTCCGCCCAGCTCTCTAACCTCAGTCCTGTATCTGTCCCCTCACTTTCTATGTTCTAGCCCCAGTGGCCTCCCTACTTTCCCTTGAGCACACTAAGCATCTGCCTCAGAGTCTTTGTGCACAGTTTATTCTGTCTGTGACACTCATACATCAGATCTTCACGTGATTCATTCCTTCACTTCTTTGAGGTCTTTGTCCAGAATGCCATCCCTTCAAAGAATCTTTCCCTAACTGCTTTATCTAAACCTGTAGTGGCTGTCTGTGTGTCTTTGCCTAGATTTGTTTTTCTTGATAGAACTTAACTTTCTGACACTGCACTTTGCATTTGTTTTTTATTGCTTGGCTCTAAATATGTAAGCTTTGTGAGGGCTGTAGCCCCACAGCCTAGAACAGTGCCTGGCATATAGTAGACTCAGATTTTCTCTATGAGTGAATGGATATAACATAAGAATTCTTAAGTGCAAAAGGTAACTTCTGACCTGCTTAATTAAAACTACCCTTGATAAAATATGGCTTTTGGAGTCATACTTAAAGACTCTGAAACTTTTTTGGAAGCAGATCTTAGGTATTTTATATTAGTCTTTAAAACTACTTGAGGATTTTGATGGTGTACACCAAGCAAGTTACAATGTTCTTAAAGTCATTTGCTTCCCCTACTTCCAAGTGAATGGGACTTTTAAGGGGTCATTAAAAGAAAACATTGACTTTTCAGATATATTTTATGGGCCTATTGTAACCACAAACCATTTTTCAGTAGGTCTTTGTTTAAGTTGCAGTACACATTGCCACAGGGCTGAAATATATTTCGTCTTGATGAAATAAGTTGAAAATAATTATATCCTCTCCACAGCAAAAATGTCTCTATGTTCCAATATATTTAATAAGCTTTTCCCCAAACTTCTCTGGGAACAATTTTAAACCTCAAAAATTTGAAGGAAGTTACAGTGAACATCCATATACTGTTTACCTACATTCATCGTTAACTTTTTGCTGAATTTGTTACTTATTTTCCCCCTCTTCTCCCTCCTCCCTTCCTTCCTTCCCTCCCGTTCTCTTTGTCTCTGTCTCTTGCCCTCTCTCCACACATACTTGTATACATGAACAAATAACAGTGTTGTTTTGCTTAACCAGTTGAGAGTAGGTTACAGCCATGAGACATCATGACACTTCACTCCTAAAATATCTTAGCACACATTTCCTTTTTCTTTTACAACCACAGCACTATTATCACACTGAATGAAATTAACATTTATGAAATGTTATTCAGTGTGCAGTCCATACTCAGATTTCCACAATGTCCAAAAATGTTTTTTGTAGATACATATTTTCTCAGTGAAGGATCACACTTTACATTTGGTTGTAATGGCTCTTTAGTCTCCTTTAATCTAAAACAAATCCCTTACCCTTGTTCCCCCCCACCCCTTTTATTAGTGTCTTTCATGGCACTGTCACATTTGAGGAAACAAGGCTGACAGTCTGAATTTGCTCTCTCATGGTTAGATCCAAGTTAAACATTTTTTGGCAAGAAAATGCATAGATGTGTAGTAAGCTTTTAATGCTGGAGAAACATGGAATGAAAAGTAAAAGGCACTTTTTTTCCTCTGCAGGATTCTGAACACAAGCAGTTTGCTCTGTGACTGCCATTTGAAGTGGTTGCTTCAATGGCTGGTTGATAATAACTTTCAACATTCTGTGAATGTAAGCTGTGCACACCCTGAATGGCTAGCAGGGCAAAGCATCCTGAATGTGCAGCTGAAAGATTTTGTCTGTGGTTTGTATTTTTGTTTTAAAAGTTTGTATATTACTCATGTACTATCTTAACAGAACTAAAAAAAACAATTAAAATAGAATGCTTTCCCACTAGCATATCTATTTCCATTTTTACATTTTTCTCTAATATTTTTATATTATAATTGTGGCTTAAATTTTGTATTCTTTGACTTAGTGTATCATAAGCTATTTTTTTTTTTACTCTGTGTGTTCTTAAATGATCATTTTTAAATAAGGTCAGTATAATAGCATCTTTATGAATGTAGGCCTTTCCCTTTTTAGAGGGATTGTTAACCTTGGAGTAAATACCTAGTAGTAAGATTCTAAATCAAAAAGTATGAATTTTTTTGACAAAATCACTCAAAAGTGTGATTTTATATTTAATAGATCTTGAAAAACCCTCAGGTGTTTTCCAAATAGATAGCAAGAGTTTATGTTGTCACCAGCAGTGTATTATTGTGCCAGTTTCATTTGGTTTCTATTTTTGATGCATTTCTTAAGAGTAAAGTGGCACAGTTTCAGAGTTTTTTGGAGGGGAAAGGGGACACAGACAAGTTGTCACGAACAAGTTGTCTTGATTCTAGCAGTTACTTACAATTTCAAGTATGCATTTTTTTTTCCTCAATTTGGAAATTTTTCTTTTACACTTTAATTTCCTTTAAAGTAGAATAACTGATTTTTAGTTTTACATAGTGAAACTTTTAGATTAATGTGTCTGTGTTGCAAAGCAGTCATAACTCTGATCGTTGTAGGTACCTGTGTATTGTCAGAGCTGTTTCCACAATCTACTTAAAGATGCTTAGGCCATTTGGAAGTTCAAATGTACAAATAGTTACTTTGTTTTTGCGAATTTTAAAGAAGGAAACAGAGAACCTAGTAACGATTAAATTCTGCTTACATTGCCATGAGTGCCCTTCTGACTTTAGTTTTAAATATAAATACATATGATGTATTTTATCCTCTTTTCTTTTGGTTATCACTTTTATGGCACGGTGAAATGTTACCCAGTGAAGCTGTTGGTTAGGAATTCATATGCCTGCTTCTCTGAATCAGTCCAGTGATGTATTATTATTTATGAATCTATAGTTTATTAGCCAGTCCTAAGCCAATCTTCAGTTGGACATTTGACACTTCAGGAAATTTTCATTATTTTAGGTGAAAGTTATGCACAAAGTAGTTTCAAATAATGTTTTATTAATAAGAATACCTATCATTATATGTTACACATACACACAGGGTAATAGAATTAGAGTTTATTTTAAAATTCCTATATTTTTCCAGTAACTGGTAATTTTTACCAGTTATTTTTCCAGTAACTGGTAATGCTTAAGAAGTACATTTTAAGCATAAGTGATAGTAAGGGATGGGAGAGTGCTAAGCCCTGAAGTCTGAAAACCTGGGTTCCAGTCCAGACTCAGCTGCTGCTGTACATACCTTTGAGCAAGTCATTTGACCCTTCTGGGCTTCATTTTCCTCACCTTAAGACAAGGGAATTGGATTCTAGCTCTGCAGTTCCTTTCAATCTTAACATGCCATTTGTAAACTAAACACAAAATTTTACATGATTTGTTTTAAAATTGAATCGGTAGAAGCAAAAATAAATAACTGACTTGGCTCCTGCCACATTTCTTTCCCTTAGACGATTTTCTCAAGCCACAGATAAGAACCCATCCTGAAACCACAGTTGCTTTAAGAGGCATGAACGTGACTCTGACGTGTACTGCAGTGAGCAGCAGTGATTCACCCATGTCTACTGTGTGGCGCAAAGACAGTGAAATCCTGTATGATGCCGATATTGAGAATCTCGTTCGTTATCAGCAACAAGCTGGAGAAGCTCTGGAATATACTAGTGTTTTACATCTTTCCAATGTGAATTTCACAGATGAAGGAAAATACCAGTGTATTGTTACTAATCACTTCGGTTCTAATTATTCTCATAAAGCCAAGCTGACTGTGAATGGTAAGGAACTATGCTCCCAGATAATTTTGTAGTTAGGAGGAATTTTCATGTTTAATTTTTGAACCATTTGACCAAGGAAATGAGGCTAAACTTGATATTTGGCAAGGGGTCCTTACTATTTTTGTCTTTAGGGTTGTTATAATATATAGACTGGATTGCTAGTTTGCGCACTTACTGTCCCTAATCAGTCTTTGACTGAGGAGTAAAGGTGAATTCTGCAGCCCGAGGAGGTAGACTACTTTCATTTTTATTTATGCTCTTGAAAAAGTTCTTTTGAAATTCTCCATTTGCTTTCTAGACCCATAATTCTATTTTGAAAACTATGAAATTTATTCCTGACCCTGTTCACAGGGCCTTCCAGTAACTGGGAGAATTAGGACATTTCTGGGTCCAGTGATCGTTTTCATTGTCTAAATGTAGTCATGCAGAATCATTTTTGAAAATAATACTCTTTTTCACTGCAGCTGTAATAAAACCAAAACAGCTTGATTTATCTATCACCTATTAGATTGAATAATTACAACATTTTAGGCTTTGTGCAACTAAAAGATGTACATGTGTCTTGCTTCTGATTGTTTTAGGAAATGTTTGAAGACATAAATTCTTCCTATCATGCAGTTGCCTTGACAGGTTTGTAGATGTTGGCATGAGAAGTATGATCAGTCTCTTAGTAAGACAGGGTGTCATAGTAGATACTGGTTATAAAATGTGGAGTTCAAAAAGGTTTGTGGCCTCTGCTTTCCCTGTCCCCATCAGGGGGATCAGGTGGATGTGTCATGCATTCTAGAAGTTAGTCATCACTGTACCCCAAATACTCTGAGGTTCTAGGGGGAGATGGCCTCTGAAGTTGTGTTTCCTATCAATCCAGAGAGCATGTCTTAAAGAAATGGAGCATTACAACAGCTGGCATTTTGCCTAACAGATTCTCGTGTGTGTGTGTGTGTGTGTGTGTGTGTGTGTGTGTGTGTGTGTGTGTGTGTGTGTGTGTGTGTGTGTGTGTGTGTGTGTGTGTGTGTGTGTGTGTGTGTGTGTGTGTGTGTGTGTGTGTGTGTGTGTGTTGGTTGTACGTTCGTTACGTTCCTACCGTTACCTTCGTTACGTTACGGTGTCGTTCGTTACGGTACG